AATATAATTTTATCCTTGCAGAACTTTACTCTTTCGGAAGTTCTTGTGGAAGTTGAGAAGCGTGGGTCGTCTTTCGGTGAATTGTTGGCTATTCCTGAACGAGACAATTGGGTATATGCTGATGGGAAATCAACATCTTGTGTTGCTTTTGTCTTTGAATTGTACAAGGAAGCTGGATTGTTTGGTGAGCTTGCAAACTCTATTCAGGTCACAGAGTTCACGGTAAGCATGCTTTAATACATTTATGCTTCTGCCAATTCAAAATTTATTCATCTACTTTTGGTTTTAGATGGCCAATTCACCGGCTAAAATGAAATTTATTAATATAAAGATGGATTATTTGCAACAATTACCTTTGAATTTCAAACCAAGAAAAAAGTGCTATTTTCCATATACATTTTTTTTTAATCGTAGAAAAATTTAAACATCTGAATAATACTCGATATCAACAATTTCAGATAAAGGATGCTTACTCTCTTAAGTTGTTTGAAAACAACTCGAGCCGTTTGCCCACATGGTGCAATGATGCAGACACAGTAAAACTGCCATTCTGCCAAATTCGAGGGAAGTATAGGATGGAATTACCTGGATACAACACCATGGACCCTTATCCTCACATGAATGAGAAATGCCCTTCTCTACCGCCCAAATATTATAGAACACCTGCCTGCTGATTCCATAACTTTCACTTGTTTTCCAAGTTATTGTGCCGGATCTTCTATTGTACTAGTGTTTCTGTGTTTAGGTTTGTAAAATCTTGTGTAATCTTGTATATATCAGTAGATCAACATGTAATGTAATACAAGCTATTAAAGCATTAATAATCAGGATAAGATATGGAAATCCCTGGGCAGATTTTGGGAGTTGGGTCCCATGTCGAAGTGTTCTGCATTTGCAAATAGATTTTCTCATGGATTAAAAAAGTGGATGGACTATAGAGTTACAGGTTCTGGCTATGAGCTCTGATCTTTTCAATATGATGTATTTTAACCACAACAAAAAAACCTTTTAACTGCAATGATGTCAGTCAGAACAAACAATCAAAGCCAAGGAGGATGAGTCGATAGGAAGAGGGATTGGCAAGGCTTGAATAAATACACTGACTCTAATATTTAAATTTTTCCTGGAAGGTCTTTTAGTAATGCCAACTTAATATTCTTTTTATGAAACGAAAAAACTACTTTCTAGAACGGGCTTGCACTGTAGTGGATGTTCTTTGAGTGTGTCAAATGCAAATAACGAAGAGATATTACATTGCAAGCGGGCTTGCACTGTAATGCTAATCTAATAAAACGTTTCAGCAAATACAACAGGCATTAGGTATGTAGTATGAAGTTGGTAAATGTAGAATGATGTTGGTAAACTTGTATTGTACTACTTATATAGAACAAGTTATCATTGAAGATGAGTTAGTTGCTAAAGCAGGGCCGTATTTTCCTACTCGTCCCCAACGTACCCTTTTAGAGTTCTAGCATACGGCATGATTATGACTCGTTTGGCTTGTCCAAACTTTTGTCAAAGACAAAACGTTTGTAAATCCAACAATCTTTGAATTATTTAAATCAAATTCCTCCGTATTTCAACTATAGAATTAAATCAAGGTTTCGTGATCTCCGATTCGGGAGGTTGGGTAACCTCTAAGACAATTCTTATATTGTGGATTTTTTGTTTTTATGGTACAAAGAAAAGAGGCCGAAGCCTAAAATCCTCTAGATAGTAACATTCTGTGCATGAGTGGAGCCAAAGACGTCATGCATTAACCACGGCTTGACTTCTGCTGGTGGATCAGGTAGTCTCTAACAGTCAGCAGGACATGAATGAGCTAAGGTCGCCAAACAATCCACAGCAAAATTTGCTTCACGATAGCAGTGCACAATATTCACTATCTGTTCCCACTACAACATCTCTCATATTGCCTGAACTACAGCACCCTCCCCCCTCCCCCCTCCATTCTCAACTGAGGACCCCATAACCATCTTAATGACACTTTAATTATCCACATCTGCAACATTCTGATACTCCAAATCCTAAATTAACTGGAGTCCTTGGAATAAACCCTATAGCTCTGCACCTGTGATAGTGGTATGCACAATATTCATGACGAGTCCCACAAGCCAGTGACCAAGATCATCTTGCACCAGTCCTCTAGCCGATGCCATATCAGTTGTCTGAATAAAGGATCCATCAGTATTTATATTAATCACTCCCGCCGATGGCGCACGCCATGAAATCCCACAGAGTTGCCTTCCCACCCCAAAGCTACCTAAATACTTTTTAGCAGACAACCATATTGACGTTATTAACAATTTTGTCCACTTCTCTAACTTTGTGTGAAACCACGAAATCTCTATCAGCAAATAAAGCCTCATTTCGGTCACTCCATATTCTCCTTACAGTAATACCAAACAATGTCTCTCACCCCTCAACATTCACATGGAGCTTGTTTGTTAAATTAAACAGCATCCACTCGTGAAGATTCAAACTACAAAAGGAGCAATGAAATTGACTTGGTAATAAATGACGACGCCATACTTTTGCTGCTCCTTGACAATTCAACAAAGCATGCAAGGCGGATTCTACACCCAGTCCACACAACATACAAATTGAAGAGCTCGCTAAGTGGAGACGATATCTCTTCGTATTTGTCAATAACTTGTCCTGCGCCTCAAGCCATAAGAGTTGTCTTACTTGTTGAGGACCAACCCAATGCCAAATTCACTTCCATAAATCACGGTTAGTCGTCGATGAGGGTAGAAACAATGTTGCATAAGATTATTTCGTTGTGAAACAACCATTTCAAAACAAAAAAACCAATAGTGTCTTTCCCAAAGAGATAGTTTGGAGGCAAGACTAAAGCAATTCGCAACAACACACGACAATAAACTCGCAAAGGGGCTCTAATTCTAATCTCCAAAATCATTCGCAGAACTTGCCACCGGCAGCTCCCATTGATCTTCCGGGATTGGCCCTGTTGCAAAAAAAATGCAACGGCGTTGACTAGCGAAGCCATTTATCACGCCAAAACCTTACTGTGTTGCCATTACCACAGAACCATCTATCCCCTTTCATCGGTGTTGGTCACACTCTACCAATTGCCTTCAACACCGTGGATCCCTTGGGAAAAATAAAATCATCCCCCATTGATGTTGTATTGAGTTTATATTTTTCCAAAATCAGTCGAACCCATAAGGTATCCGACTTTGTCAAAAGATACCAACCCAATTTCATTAATAGAGCAATATTCATCTCCTTTTGTCACATCAAACCCAAACCGCCTAACTCTTTGCTTTCACACACGGTCCCCTAGGACACAAGAGAAATTTTTCGTTGAGTGCGACTCCATCCCCACAAAAATATTCGACATCGTTTCTCCAATCCCTCACAAATCGAAGTTGGAAGCCACGCTGTCTACACGGTATAATATGGCAGTGTACTCACAACCGATTGAGTCAAGACACATTTTCCTGCCAAGGACAAGGAGTTGGCCTTCCAACGCGCCAACTATGGCTATATGCTTGTGCATTTGATCTCGATTAATGCCTATAGTAAGCGGATCCGCTGGGTTTTCATTTGACTTTACGTAGTCAACCGATATAACTCCACTCGAGATCATTTGTCTTATGGTATTATGCCTTCAACGTATATGTCGAGACTTACCATTGTACAAGCAACTTTGTGACCTTCCAATTACCGATTAGTTTTCACAATGTAACATCAAGACAGGCACCAGTTTTGACCAACGTTGAATATCCTCTAGAAAATTTCTTAGTCATTCAGCTTCGTTCTCAGCTTAGTCCAAGGTATAAACTCGGACTCCATAGTGGATCTAACAATACACGTTTGGTTAGAAGATTTTCATGACACTGCTCATCCACCTATAGTGAACAAGAAGCACTAGTGGTCATGGAGTCTTTTGTACTCAATATCCAATTCACATCGCAATATCCTTCAAGTACCTCTGGATATCTTGTATATGTTATTCCAAAATTCGAGGCATGTTTCAATTACGTACTCGATTCAGCACATTCAAGTAATCATCGCTTGTGTTACTTGTGAACATACTTAGTACTTAGTTTACTCACAAAATATGCTATATCGGGGCAAGTACAACTCTTTCAATTACTCGTGAGTATTCTAATTGAGGAACCGATTCACCTCAATTTTTAGCTAAGTGTTGAGTTAAATCAACAAGTGTCTTAGTTAGAGGTATTGAATGCATTGAACATCTTCAGTATATTTTCAACGTAATGGGATTATGACAATACAAATCTACATTGCATGATCCACAATATGACTTGACGATGAGCATATCGTTAAAAATCAATCTAATGTCACTTGTAAAACATATAATTTGTTTAAAAAAATAAGCCTTCTCAAAATACATTTTTAACAAATTGATAATTGAGTAATCTAGAGATATTGAGATTAGCAGTTTGGAAAACTTTCTAGCAATAACCTCCCGTCCTAGAATATCCACAATTTGAGTAAGGTTAGAAAATTGGAGAATCAATATTTTGTAATAGACCAACTCAATTTTTGTTCGAGTGTGAAGTGTCCGTCTGTCCCTCACCAATATTTTTCAACTACATCAATTTTAATTGTTGTATTACTAGAATTTATCTCACTTATTCTAATAGCAACAATTTTTATTACGTTCAAAAAAAAAAAATATTATATCCATTCGCAGCCAGACCCTTAAAGTTGAACCCAAACATCACATTTCACAAGGTGAGGCCTTCCCAAATAAACCTCCATATCTCGAAATAAAGCCAAATTAATTCAGAAAAGCATAACAGTAATCGCATAATAAGCAAGCATCTGTCGATAACACGTCACAGAAACTCCCACACTCGACCAAAGTAAAAGAGGTCAACAAAACAAAAGTAAGCAACACAAACCAGAATATAATTCTTCAAGTAAATCATTGACATACTAAGCAAATATCACATGCCCAATGCCCGACCTCCAAATGCCTCCTCTCGCATGCATCACTGTAAGAAGGAGAAGCAGTCAGCAAATCTACTCCAAATGTCAATGCCGTCCAAATTCATATCCCCTTTCAATCGCTAATGGTAAGATTATTCTACCAATAAGAGCATCTCCAATGCATAAATGTTGTTATCACATAGATTAATTGTCAACCAAATTGTTAAGTTCACAACTTTAAATCTAAAAATTATTTCCAATGCACAATGTGATCAAAACATAATATTGTCCACTTGGCAAAAAAATAAGTGGACAATAAAATATATATATATATATATATAAATGAGAAAGAAAATAAATTAAATAATTAGATCATTTTTATTAATAATATTTTTCCCTCATCTCTCAATTGGTTGGTTAGAATATGAAGAAAATGTGGACGAACCACATTCTTCTCTACATTGTATACATTAATTATGTCCACCTCATAACTACATTTGTGATTACAAGTTGGTATACTGCTAAATTTGTTAATATAAAGTGTAATTTACTGCATTTCCAGATGCTCTAAGCATACATATTATTTGTACTCACTCACTAAATAGTAATATATCGGGCATGCATATTATTATACAAACTCGGTTTAAAGAAATACCTGTTGTGGTGGCTGCTGATAATTCGCATATCCAGGATAGCTTCCGTAATACATGTTAGGGTCTTGAGGTGGCGCATACCCACCTTGCCCTTCATACCCCCCCTGTCCCTGCGTATATCCACCATAATACCCTCCACCACCCCACTGGCTCTGATCCGGTTGAGACTACATCACAAACAAAGAATTATTATATTATAATTGTGAATAGCCACTGATATTTTGATAGCAAAAACAAAATTGAACTACGCCACGGTTTTAAATTGAGAACCTGCTTGTTTGAAGGACTGCGACCCCACGAGAGTCGGATGCTCTGGGATCCAAGCGGGGTACCATTTAAGCTGGACAAAGCTTGCTCAGCACAGGACCTTCTCATCAAACATGTAGAAGATATGTGAGACTAGAAAATTACTATCTTATTTGCACAAGAAATAATTATTACCAGTTTGTACCTGTCAGCAAACTGAACAAACCCACAACGCTTGCCTGCTGGTATCTTGACATGGACCACCTCACCATACTGGGCGAAAACTTGTTTCAAATAGTCCTCTGTCACACTGGGATCAAGACCGCCGACAAATATCTGCACTTGCATTTGAGGGTCAATACAAGTATACAATGAAAAAGTAGGACAAACAGTCATACAATAAGAAAAATTACGCACTGTTGTATTATTAGGATCACTCTCCCCCTGATTTCCTTGAGAATTCTGATACGAAGCTGCAAATGACATAAAAGCCAAGAAGATTGAAATCTGAAACTGTCATCTGTAACTGTAAAGAATCAGATGTATATGGCTACTCCAGATCAACTCCCTACACATAACTCATGCCAGGAGACAAACCCTAAATAATCATGAACATCTTTGAGTTGCGCCAAGAGCATGTCAGGGACGACATGCCAACCACTTTGCACAACATTTTGTTTCCAATAAACCTATCTTCACAATATCTCAGTTCATTCAAGCAACTGACAAGACAAAATTAACACATTCACAGAGAGAGAAGCAAATATACATTATTATTCATTTCAGTAAAAATTCATTACCCCAAGCACAAGCAAAATATGATGCAGTAGGTATCTCAATGATGAACTACAAACAATAAGGAAGACTACTTCCACAAAGTGCCACAACCAAAACGCAATATAAGTTATATAAAAGTCTCAAGACGCTGCATCAATGCCTTTCCTGATCTGGTTTCGGTTCTAAAGGTAAAATTAACAAATTCCTTCACCTATTATTGCAGTTTTTCCTAGTATACTCGACGAGACACGGTACCCATGACAAAAGAATAATCATGGAAGATCCTCTTATATGATTTATATGATAGTTGTAGAAACTAGGAACTCTGAGTAGTTAAGGATTATATATGAAATCAATTGACTAAAACATTTGACCGTGCTGGTACTGCTTTGCCTTTCGCCAGCAAAGACCAAACATTGTTCAGTACATATCTCATTTAAAAGCAGTTATCTTTCGCTTAGGTAACAAGAGAAATTTGCAAGCATCAGTTAGCATGCAGATAGCTAATAACCAATCCTGAACTTGACAGACGTAACTAATTTTAAAATATGAAACCAACAGAAGAAAATAATCAAAAAGCTGTTAAAGTTTCGGTGTATGGGAGTAAAAAAAATTAGAAGGAAAAGACAAAAAAGTACCAGCCGAAATGCTTAGGTTATATAAAATTAAACCAATATAATTTAAATGACGGGAAGATATGGACATAGCTGAATTGAAAAGGTGGCAATAGAAGGAAAACTTTCAACGAGAACGATACTTAATTGACTGAAAAATTACAGGGAAAATTTTAGGAAACCAAAAAGTATATGTAGCGAAAGAAATGCCACGACTGAATGGAGGAAGCTTATTCCAAAAGCAAATTTAACTGACCTAAAAGGAGACCACGCATTATACAGGAATCATTTCAGCTGAAATCAGTTCCAGGCCCCCGTAAATGAGAGCCTCTTTCTTCCCTGCTTTGAGACAAATGAGTTTTATAAGTTTTTTCATGTCTTATATAATTGTATTTGTCCAATTATAGTAAATTACTGGAAGGAAGACTTTAATAGAGCCCGGGAATCTTCAATTGAAAAGCTGCAAGATTGCTTAAATCTTAAGACACCAAACTTCAGAAGCACATCAAGACAACCTAATTGCTTCTCATATGCCCGTAAAAGGAACAGCTATAAGGCACAGCAATACACGGCATAAAACTGAACATAAGCAAATATAATGCAGATAGCAAAAACTGTAAAGCTGTTAGCACAAGAGAGAGCCGGATGTAAACAAAAGAGATGCCAAGAGATTTTGAAATTCTAACCTGTTTGAGTTGGGCCACTCATAGGCTTTTTATTAGCTGCAGGGCCAATTCTCATCGGCCGACTTGAACAGACCACACCATTCATTTCAGTCATTGCCCTTTGTTGCTCTCTCTCATCCCCAAATTTGACAAATCCATAACCCTTTGAACGTCCAGTGTTCCTATCAGTAACAACTTTTGCACCCCTGACAGATTGGTACACACCCCTGAAAGTTTCCTGCAAGATGTAATCTGTGACCTCACCAGCCAAATCCCCCACAAAAATTGTATGCTCGGGCCCACCATCTGAGCGCTTATCTCCAGCACCTAGAGAGGCCCAGTTCATGCGGAAAGTCTGTTCCGAATTGGGCATTGTTGTACCATTATATGTTTGAAGTACATTTTCAGCAGCAGCGCGAGTCCTGAACTCAAGGAAGCCATACCCCTCGGATTGGCCTGTTTGCTTGTTACGAATTACCTTAGCAGATACAAACTGAAAACACAGAACAAGTCAATGATGATTGTTGATTGGTAAACCAACGGAAAACTTTTTGGTGGAAGAAAGAAATTCACATAAACAGGTCAGGAGCACACCCTTTAAATTCAAGTTAGGGCATGGGGTTGGAACACACGGTTTTTATACCCACGTATCTTACAACTAATGACAATTCCAAAAAGTAAATGATTATATATCCAATTGTAACATAACATTTGGGTTAGGCTAACATTCTGGAATACAATATTTCAAAAAAGTCCTGATAGATTGTTTCAGCGCAAGACATTTTTTCTTCAAAAAAGATCTAACACTTGGCAATAATTTGATTAATTTTAAAGAAATTATAAGCCAATAAGCAGAAACCCCTAACTCTAACATTAAAGAAAAAAAAAAAGAAGCAACAATGTAAACAATGTATTTTATGTACTCAAGACACAAAAGAAAGAAAAAATAGAAACAAAATCACAACATTTCTTAAAGAGAAAATCTCAAATAACTTGATATTCAAAGAACAAATATACCTCTCCGCTGTTGTAGAAGCAGTTGCTGAGGTAATTCTCGTCCATCCAGTACTGAAGATCCCCAACCCACAGAGATCGAACCTCATCCGTTCCGCCACCCTGCCCAGCGGAGGCCGCGTTAGCAGGCGGCACACCGTAGTGCTGCTGAGGCCAGAATGAAGGCGGCTGCGCCTGAGCCGGCTGGTGCTGCTGCGGTGGCATCATTATCCACTGCTGCGGTGGGTACGGCTGCTGCTGTGGAGGCTGCTGCTGATGATGATCCATTCCCATGGGCGGTGGGGCCATTCCTCCTGGCTGTTGCATCATTCTCAGGGAGGAAAATTTACGGGGAGGAAAAAGAGAGAATTTTGAAAAGGAAAGACGATGCCCTAATTCGATAGGGTTTGATATATGGAGAGAGAGGACAAAAACGGACGTGGTGGGGATTACAAAGTGATGTCGTGTGTTAGGTCGGTTCTGTAGAGTTGAATTTAGACGGAGTCGTTTTACTAACGATGCGATTTTTCAGGTTACATGTCATTTTGATTTTGCCCCCATAAATTAACAATATTATAAATAAATGTGTTTCTCGGAAGTAAAAACTACTATTGATCCTATCTAAAAAGAGAAAGAAAAAAAAAATAATTATAAATTAAAGAAGAGAATAAACAATACTTAATAATTATAAATTAAAGATTTGGGGTCAAACAATGTAAAACTATTTTGTATAAGAGAATATAAAATTTACATTATTTTGTATAAGATAATATAAAATTTGTATGTTAAATATTAAAAACACCTAAAATATTATATTAGTATATGTAAAAGTATTCAAAATTTTCTATATTATTTTTGAAAGATGTGAAATCGCCTACAACTTTTCTAAAAACATTTGAATTTAACATTGTGTAAAAAAGATTTTTCTAGACTATTTTGTAAAGAGAACATGGCTACAAATATTTAAATTTAACATCAATTATGTATATGTGTATATGTATATATATAGACTAAAAAAAATGTCTAAACATGAAGTATCTAAAATATTATATGCATAATTTAAAAAAGACATTATGTCAGATAAAAAAATTTGATTACACACAATTATTATTATATTTTTACATTGTTATCGAGGATGTATTGTTAGCTTATAATATTTGTAAAAATACTAGCAAGACCGATGAAAATTAGTTTTTTAAAGTAGATAATGAATTTCTAGTAGTAATTATGAATTGGTTTTTATTTTATTTTATTGTTTAGCTTTTAAAAGTAGATAATAGATTTCTAGTAGTAATTATGAATTGGTTTTTATTTTATTTTATTTTTTAAAATCTTTATAGATAAGAGATTGAGATTTTTTAAACTCGTGAGACGTATGCAATGTGATTTTGTAACAGATAAGAGATAAACTCGTAAAGATTTATGCTATGAGATTTTATAAGCTACCAATTATTTTTTAAAATTATCGAGTTTTTTGTTCAGATTGTGTGAAATTAAAAAATGGACAACCGATTTATGTGAAAGTGTGGATAACACACTCCTCATTATACGGAGATTGAAAATGCAGTACGGCAGAAGAAAGTTAAAAAAAAGCCTAACGCATTTAATGTTACACGCATGAATTCAGGAAACAAAGTAATAATTTAATAGTAATAGAAAGTAATTAATGCTAACAAAGTTTAACTAAAAATATGACTTTTCATTTAAAAAATGTTATTCTTTTTATATAAGTATAGATTTTTAAAGCGTATAAAAACTCCGCGATTTTTTTTCCCAATTTTGCACAGGAAAATCTAGCATCAGTATTTGCCGTCGTCCACTTTTCCAGTGGGTCGCTCTGTACAACCGCGATGCTACTCGCAACCGAACTGTGCTCCAAAAATGTAACCACATTTAATAATTCTAATATATAAAAGTTAAAAGAAAACCAATCCAACAAAAACAACATAATAAATACATATAAAGAATCAAAATATTTTCAGTCATTCATTTACCTATCTGCAATTTTAACAAAACGATAAATTTTGGTAAAAATATGGCAACTTAGTTTCGGGGTAACTTGTATATAATAAATAATTTCAAAGATATTTACTTACCTCTAATTGAGAGAAGATATCTAAAATTTTACCGAAATGGTGTTAAAAGTTAAATATATACATAAAGATGCAACAATTCATTTAACACTTCATTATTTGACTATTTATTTACCTACCTACAATTTAACGAAACGATAAACCTTGGTAAAAAAATGACAATTTAGTTGAGGGATAACTTGTATATCATAAATAATTTCACGACATATACTTAACTTTAATTAAGAGAAGATACCTAAAAAGTTTACCAAAATCAGGATACGTAGAATATAAAGACATGGCCATCAGTAGGATGGGTTCACGACCCGACCCGGCCCGCTGGGCCTCAAATGCCAGACCTGAAACCGGCCCGACTACATCTAAGGACCGGTTCATTAAATCGGCCCGACCCGAGAGTTCATTGAACCGTCGATTTTTTTAATAAAAAACAACCCTGACCCACACGTCATTAAGGATATTGTAGTAATTTTCTACACTACACACAAAGAGGTGGGCCCCGCTCAAATTATCACACCTGCCAACTAACACAACCCTACCCACACGTCAATAGCCCCACCCCACCCCACCAAACACCACCCTACGCTCTCTCACACGCACGCACACACACACACCACAACACACCCCGTCGAACCACCGCCGGTAGCACTGTGCCGTCGATCGCTGCCCGCCACACCAGCATCTGCCGGCGTCACTCTCAGCCACCATCACCCTCTTCTCACACACTACACACACTCGTACAGACACGGCCACAACCACCATCATGCCGAACAAATTTTTCGATGTCGCCGCTGCCGCTCCTCGAAAGTCACTGCCATACCCACCATCACGGCGGACAAAACCACCACTTGCGGCAAACATATTCATCGCTACAGCCATCGAGATAGGGACGCCACTGCCGGCGGCTCCGAACTGAGATTCATTCACGGCGATCTCCTGGCCATTAATCGCATCGTTAAACGAGATGGCGATGTGTTAGGCTGCCGCCGCGTCCGACGCCGACGCCGACGCCTTCCTCTTCTCCCTGTGCGGCGGCGGATCAGTATTATTGACGGGCATGGTAGATTGAAAGAGATTTTGTGGGGTTTTTGTGTGGAAATTAGATAAATAATAAGGACCTATATGCAATCTTTAAGTTTTTTGTATATTACACTTTAGGTATTGGGGTAAATTTACAATTTATCAAAAGCTTAATTAATGAATAGTATGTAATATGAAATGCAATTGGGGGTAGAAATGCACACTATAAATACCAATATATTAAAGGTTATATAAAATGCACATGATGTGTAGAAATGCACATTAAAAAATATATTAATAATAAATACATATTAATTAATAATAAGTAAAATGCACAAATATTTTATTATTGCACAAATATTATGTACATGCACTTTAAAAACATATACGATTTCATAGCACAATAGTGTAAGACGAATTGCACATTAATGCCTAACAAATTGCACAACAACGATCAATCCATCTGAACAAAAAATTTTTGTGCCGATTTTTATACGTCCATTTGATTTTTTTATATTTTTTTTTACTTTTAAAACTTTTGTTCGATGTGGACTTTATTTTTTAAAATAACTGTAATAAGAGAACCGACAGAACTATATAAAAAATATTATTTTTGCATATTTTATATAAAAATAATGTCTTTCCAGCTTAAAAATATACAAAACATTAAATACAAATATTAAAAACTAATACATTTTAATAGTACAAAATAATATATTATTTTGTTATTTTATTTAATTATGTTAACAAGCCGAATCACCAAATGTTTCGGTTCGACTTTAATCTATGGGACAAATGTTTGGTTGGTTCATACTGCACAATAGCGATCGAAACCGTTCACAATAGTGTTAGACGAATTGCACATTAATATTACCAGACTGCACAATAACGACCAACCGACCGATAAAAAAATTTTGGTTTAATTTTTTATATTTCTGTTTGATTATATGTTTTTTCTTTTAGAATTTCAGTTTGGTTTGATTTCGTCTTTATTGTTTTAAAATAACTGAAATAGTCAGACTGACTAGACTATACAATTTTTTTTTGTATTTATATATATATAAATAATATTTATTTTCAACCAAAATTAATATAAAATATCAAATAGCAATATTAAGAATACTAAATATATCTTTACGATATGAATAATAAAGTATTATAATTATTTAGGTTAATTCGGTTAAGTGCACAAATAAATCAATGGTTTCCGTTCAACTTTAGTTTGATTCAAGACTATTAAAAATGGATGCGCTATAATTGCACCATAGTATTAGACGAATTGCACATTAATGACTAATATAATGCACCATAGCGAATGAAGCAACCGAAAAAATAATAATAATATTAATAGGTCGTACTTTTTTCTCAAAAATTTGACTAGGTTATTTTGGTTTTGACATTTTTGTTGTACGGTTCGACACAATTGACCGATGAACGATATTGTGAATTTTATGAGTGATGCCATTTCTATATTTATTTTTTTATTTTTTTAAACTTTTATTGTGCACAATCACACATTATATTGTGCACTTTGTTTATCATTGGTGTGCATTTAATATATGTTTTGTAAATTATAAATTTGACTCATAAACTAAATTAAAATATATTAAAACTTATAGAATTGCAAATAGATCCTTATAACTTATCAAATTTTTAAAGTCAAGCCCATCTTAATTATTCATCACAATCAGAGCATAGCCGTTCGCCCATTTCATTTTTCATCAACCAGTCCGTCGTCACCGGAGAATATCAATATCCGGGAAGAACTCACACCACGGCGGCACCACCGGCAGAGGCGGCGCGTGTCCCTGCCGACCTCGGGCACCGTCGATTCTGACGCGACTCTCAACCCGACCGGCGGTATCACTCCGACAACCTCAAAAACTGCATCTATACCCCCTGCGTCTCCTCCGACTGACAAAATCGAGCTCCCCGTGACTTCACAATCCAGCGACGGTACACATCCGACTAGATCTACGCCGACGATGGAAGCTTTATGTATCGTGTTCACCTCCGATGGCGGACGATGGAGGAGAGGCGGCGGGCTTGGTGGTCGGCCTGAGGCGTGGCTGGTTGTCAACGGCGGCGGGAGGACGCTGACCAGATTGGTTACCTAGGCACGACCGAGGAACGGCCAACGTCTCATGTGTCGCGATCGACGGCGGGCGGCGGATGTACGGTCGGAGTCTCCTGAGTCGCTGTTGGCGGCTGGCGACGGAGTCACGGTGGAGTCACGGCAGAGGCCAGAGGCGGGCTGTTATCCTCTGTGTGTGTGTGTGTGTTGCAGAAATTCGGAGATTGATTGGGAATTTGGGATAGAGGAGGAGGTTGATGAAAGAAAAAATCTATATTTAATTGGTGAGTGGGTCCCACATAATATACTT